TTTTTTTTCTCTAATGTTAAAATAGAGAAAGGAAGAGGGAAAAGAAATCTTTATATTTGAAAAAGCACAAATTACATGAAAATATAATGTATTAGGGAGTGGGGAAGCCAAGTTTAAAAAAAGGTATAGTAGAAAGAAGAGGAAGCCAGAACCAAGAAGAATGCAAGAGAGAGCAGAGTACCTTCGTAGAAAGCTTGATGAAGGCTATCTTTCTCCTCAAGCATCCTACTCAAAGACATGTTTTTCTGATTGTACTTGATCTGCAAATCATCAAGATTTTCATTCCTCATGTCAATCTCAGTAGCCAACTCAACCACTGCTTTGTTTCTAGTTTTTACAGCTTCATGAACGAGATCAGAAATTGTTTTCAGCTCTCTTTCCGTGCGAAGATAATCTCCTATTGGCCCTTGTGATTCAAAGTCATTTGAACGAGCTAACCAAGCATAAATACTCGAACTTGGAGGATTTTCGGCAGCAACCCATTCTTTCTTACTGTGATGATCAGCTTCAAACGCTTTCTCAAACTCCATGGCATTCTTAAACCCAATCCAATCATTGTTAAACCTCACCAAAGCTTGTGCTTTCTGCTTTTGATCATCCCATAAGATCTCAACCACTTCAGGCTTGTATTTTGAAAATCTCTTCATCCAATATTCTGTGTTCTCCACATCTTTCCCACTTTCGGGCTCTTTGACTATGTTAACCACAATCGCAGTCCAAGGCCAGCAAAACAAATCATTTTCTTCGGAACTTGGAGGGGCAGGTGGTGGAGCCGCCACTTTTGGCAGTTGCTCAGCCTCATCTGCCAATTCTTTCTCCAAGTATATAGCCAAGGCAAGATGRTTAGCCTTTTGCTTTGCGCTTCTATTGGAAGAACCTTTGCCCACTCCCGAAGCATGTTGTAATAGATCTTTGTATTTGAAGTTCTGTTTTTTCTTCCCGGCACAGAAAGGACACCGAAGGATGCCATTGGGAAATTTAACTTTATAGGTTCCATTCCTCAGTTGCTCATATGGTTTATCTTTGTACTCAGCAATCTCTGACTCACTGAAATCAGACTCTTCACCAGAGCTGTATTCCATCTGGAAACAAAGATAGAACACAGCTCAATAGGATMACACTAAAAGATRCGTCCTCCCTCACAAAATAAGTGTCCACGTTTCTATTTTGTCTTGTCCCAAAATAAGTGTCCACTTTCCATTTCTACCCTTGATTATGAGATGGACAAATTCATTACTCCCTCTATAGTTAAGGGTAAAATTGTTATTTAGTTAACTATGAAGTGTAATAATTACAAATTCCTAAAATTCTCTTTTTGATTGTGGACATTTATTTTGGGACGAAGGGAGTAGTTGAGACAATGTGGGAGATCTGACAAGGTAATGGGAAGAAATCAATTATAACTTGAATATAAGAACAGTCATGGTTCAACATCCTTAAAGCCAAGCATATACCAGGGTATCTTACGTCTCTACGAGGTCTCCATCTGAAATAATCCAGCCTAATTTCTTCTTTTCTTAATGCAGTTTGTTGCGGGCTGGTGCTTTTGTTTTAAGAAAGTTTCTATTGGAAGTATCACAGATTGGCAGTGATAATATGCAAAGGAACTTTGTGAAATCTCTACCTTTAACTGTCTGTTTTCAGCTATGCAATTAAGTTATACTCCTAGCATCCTAAGTTGAGACAGGAAACAAAAAACTAAGATCCTAATCCACTTTCCTCCTACTTCCGAAAACTAAGTGCTATGAGATCACAAGCATCGTATCCTTTTTCAGTTTTAAAGTCTGGGACTATGGATGTCTAACAGGTTACTTCACAACTGTAAAATTGTTTCAAGCTTCAAAGTCTGGGATGCAAAAATTTTATAACGAGTGCTACCAWAYAGTCGAAYAAAAATAACTTGGTGTRAAATTTGCAGCGAAGAACATATCAATTTTACATTTCAAAATACCAAGATTGACATCAATAAAGTTAGTTTAGTACAATTCAACTTCATAGCTTAAATCAAACAGTTAAAACTCGAGATTTCACAAATTCCTTTTGTAAGATTATCGCAACCAATTCTTCCGATGAAATCATTCTTACAAMGAGAATACGAAACCCTAAATCAATAGGCYGCARCAAAATGMATGATGAAAGGAGAAATTAAGCTGAATTCAGTATTTTATCAACAATCATCGAAACATACCTGGTATTTCAGTTGTAAAATAATACATTACCTCGCCCCAAACGGTTACACAAAATGTACGATTTTTGACGGCACTCAGTAACCGGAACCAGCAGCGTCCGCCGACAGCAGAGCGACCACTGAACGGAGACAAGCACCGTAGACCGATCGGAGGAGACGAAAATAAACCCTAATGGGTTCTTCACGACTTACGAAAGAAATCGTCTTCAAATGTAGGTCCCTTCCATTGCTGGGCGTTTTTGTTGTGGGTGGGGAGAATTCAGAAGACGTGTTGTAGACTGTGTGTGACATAGGACTGATGTAAATTTTTAGGTGTGGGTTGGGGGATACCCAAATATTGGGCCGTTTATTTGAGGCCCAATTGATAACCAATAAAGGAAAAATACCTCCTTGTGACCGGTTTAATTAGCTTAATGAGACTTGGGGGCTGTTCGTTTACAGCTTAATAGATTGTATAAACCTTATAGCTTATTCGTTCAGCAATACAAAGCTATTCGGTTGCGGCTTATTCGCTTAACTGAGGGATTAATTGGTCAGCTAAAAACCATGTGTCCTTTACACTCAGCCATTTAATTTCTCCATCTACCCTTACCCTGTAATTTTCACCTCTCTTTTTTTAGTCCAAGTCTACATGCACCATTACTCAGGATGAGGGGGAGACAATAGCAGCTGAGCTCATTTCTTCACTTTATCTTCCCTTTTTTATCCACAATCCCTCAAACCCTGCTCACCTCCTTCCTTATCTTGGTGATGGCGTCTTCCACACCACCAACCTTAACCACCTCCAAACCATATTCGAACCACCACATCCAAGATATCCATAACCACCATCGTCGTACCTACAATGGTCAAAATTCCCACCACCCATCTCCCAAGGCCTCTCTCTTCATCCTTTCACACCAAGAAACCCGACTGCAAAAAAAACCCCTCGTTCCCACCGTCGCCGCATCTGCTGCCTCCTCTTCTATCCAACATTAGAACCCTAATTTCGCCCCTCTTTCCGCCTCAAAATCAGAACTTGCTGCTGATTCTCAGGGCGGATGTCAATCCGGTTTGTGCTTTCTCAAAACTAGAACTTGCTGCCGATTTCTCTCCACCATCGAAACCCTATTTTTTTGTGTTCCTTTTGTGCTTCTTCGTCCTTTTTTTTGTTTTTGTGTATGTTCATAGGAAGAAGAAATATGATTGGGAACTTGGATAATGAAAAAGAAAATTAATTCTTTTTGTTAGTGAAAAAGCTAAAAAATGAAATGTGTGAAATGGTCATATATGTCATTCAAAGTATTTATTCAGCACTGCAAACGAACAACAACTTATTTGTTATCATACAGACAGCTTTATCAATACATACAACTTTATCCATACATGTCTTAATAGAAAACGAACCGAACAACCCCTTACAGTTTATTTGGTTAGTTATACATAATATTTTAAATAACATGATGCGTGGGATCTCACAACCACAAGGATGAAATCCCTAATTTTTAACAAACCATACGAACAAAAAAAATCATTTAATGTAAAAATTCATCTGCATACTCAATTACTGATAATAATGTTTTTACAAGGAAAGCATAAATGTCACTATAATTTCTCTTCTTATTATTAACATTCATTTATTATTTTGATAAAAAATTGAAGTTCATGAGAATTTCTTTTTGTTAATTATTAGTATTTAAGTAAGCTTGTATGCATTTTGATTAATCCCAAGAATACTGAAAAACAATAGGAAAAATCATTACTGTCCCTGTGTTGTATCATGTTCTTAAACAAGAAATTTAAGAAATCATGAACTGACTTCTAAAATACACATCAATTAACCGTTTTCCTATTAAAAAAAATTGGAACTGCTTTTTAGAAAAACGTACGATTAAATGGATGTGACATCGTACTTTTTTATTTATTTATGATTTTGATTTATCTGATTTAGAAATAATAATTATCGAAGGAATTTGTATATTGTATGATTGTTTGGTTTTGAATATGTTATCATCAATTCATTCTCACCACACTTACTATTAACCCTGTTAGTTTAACTCAATTGATAATAAAAAGGTGTTTATAAGAGGTATTAAGCAGTAATTAATAAAAATGAAAGTGAAAAAACTGTTTGGTTTTTTATAATATAATGAGTTCATTTATTCATAAGCACAAATTTTCATTCTAAGTTAAACTGAAGGGAATGAAAATTTGTTCCCATTTTTATTTTCTGTCATATTTTAATTCCCCTGCTTGAACCAAACATCCCATAAGACATGATCATTTAAAGATTATTTTTAGAAGTATCTGGTTCAAGTATTGCAAGACAACTGGAGATTATTTTGGTTATTCTCCATGGCTCCTGGGTTCGTGCCCTACAAGATGCTCTTATAAGAACATATTTTTGTACTTTTTCTTGTCACATCACTTCCAATTCACCAAATTAAGAATATATATATATATATATATATATATATATATATATATACACAGAGAGAGAGGGGATGGTTCAAATACTAACCCTTTTTTTTTGTTAACTCTACTAACCAACATCAACCAATTACATTCTTTTTTTACTTTATGTTCAAATGTAACTTATAAATTGAATACAAAGGTCATTTTGTAATTTGACCTTTATGTAACTCCCTAATAATTATTTGGGAGTTACAAATCTTTTAAGATCCCTCTAATTGATCATGAGGTAATTCTGATGTTCACGGTGTTCATGGTGTTCATATCCATGTAATGTCCATGAACATTCACCGTGTTCATATAAATGTTTACCGTGTTCATGCGATGTTTTTACAAAAGTACCCTCTGAACCATTGTTTATAGGCATCTCAATTAATATATTAATTAAATGATTATTTTTATAGTCTCATTTAATAAAGACCGTTTGATGAGAAAATGAACGATCAATATCGGGTTAACATAGTTTGCATAATAGTTTTGGTTAGTATTTGAACCAGCCCCGATATAGATATATAAGTCACGGTAATAGTTTTTATAAGAACTTATTTTGTGAGTCTTATGTATTTTTTTAATATTAGTAATTATTATGTCTTTATGATAAATATCAAATATTTAATTTAAAAAACTAACAGAATGTCATTTTCACACCAAATTCAAAGCAAGAACCAAAGTTCTTATAAAAACCATATACGATGATAATTTTTACAAGACACCATGCTACAAAACCACCAGAGCTTTCATTTTAAAAGACATACATTTAAAGGGTATACTAATAAAAATGACATGTTTCCCTTTTTTTCCTCTTCTATTTAAGAACATGAAAAACTATTTTATTTATTTTTATTTCATTCATTTTCGATAACACAAATAACCACAACGATGGTGTCTGATTGGTTTGAGTTTAGGCTTCAAAAGTCAAAAGTGTCTGGAGGTCCCCTAGTTTAAATCCGAGGAATAAAATCCTTTCATGGCCACGAAAGTTTAAATGCGGTGACTTTGTGCTACCCAAAAAACAGGTGGTCGTACTGAAATTAGTCGACTCGCATAACATGTTGGATATCCAGGTTAATAAAGACAAATTGTTTAATTTTTCTTTCATTTATTTTCTTTCTCCAAATTTAGAAAACATAGCGTGAAGGTGATATAGACCAAGTTGGTTATCAAAATTTTACATCTTAATACTTTCATTAAGGGGCAATATTTGAATTGTTAAAAGGTGAATCTTATTTGATAAGAAAAAGTATGTCTTTTAATGATTCTAAAACCCTTTGAATAATTTTGTATCTTAAGTCTCCCTTAACCATTCAACGCCTTAATTTCATTATAAACAATTATATTTCAATTTACATTAAATCATAAGAGTCTCTTAATCATTTTAAACCAATTTCAAACCATCCTATTTATAATTGATAATTGACACTAAAAAGTATTATATATTTAAAATTTGGAATATAATAAATACATGATTTATGTAAAAATATAAATGGTGGTGGTCCGCCAAAAATAGATGATGCGGCGGTTATATGCGCGCCGGTGGGACCAATCTCCGCCTCTGCTTTCACCTGATTCATCTTCATGAACACACTCATCTTTTTCACTCCATTTTCAGTCTCATTTCTCACTCATAATTTTTAGTTGATTTCTCCAGAATAATTTCGAACCGATTCGACTGAAAATGCTGAGCAGAGGGA